ATAAATATGTGTATATATATATAAATAAATATTTGTGTATCTATATAGGGATATTCAAATATATGAATATATGAATACATATATATAAATATATGTGTATCTATATAGGGATATATAAATATATGAATATATGAATATATATATATATAATTATATATATATATATGTATGTGTGTATCTATAAAGGGATATTTGAATATATGAATATAAATATATATATATATATCCATATATATATAAATATTTATAATTTATATCAGTATCTATATATATACATATATATATATAGAGACAATGACGATGATATAAATATATATAGATAAAGATGAAGATAATGATATATATATATATATATATAAATATATAATATAGATAAATCACACTCATATGTATATAATAGATCGATATAAATATATAATTATATATATGTATATATATGTAGATATATATATTCATATATACTCATATTTATATGTATATAGAGGTAACTCAATGTATATTTATAGATATATATGTATATATATATATGTATATATACATATGGATATATAAATATATACATAAATATAGTATGTATAAATACATACATACATACAAACATATATATAATAATATAATACTATATAATAGTAGAATAATATATAACAATATATATTATATATATATATATATTAATACCATATATATATATATAACTACACACACACACGTACACACACACACACACACATATATATATATATATTTATATATGTATATATACATATGAATATCAATGACTCGTATATGACACCTATAATTTACATAGTGGTTGTATCGACATATTTTTATATAAAGTACGTGTTCCGTTTAATGAATTATATTAGTGATCATTTAAAGCACCAATATTGCTGCATCTGCACATGTTGTACGCTGACAGTCAACATCAAAATTACCAGCACGGAATAGCACATAACAAACAATAAAACGTATTCGTCTTGACCTAATTTCAATCACATTACTATATACACCGGATATTACCGTCTCGTCTCCATATTCATTCGGTCACATCAGTCATATTTACCACCAGTACATCCCCTGCAATTCAATCACTTATTCGCCTTGATAGCAGCCAAAATCTCGTCTTTTGCGGCCTTTATCTCGGCCAATATTTCGGCCTTACAAGCTTCTAGATCTTCCTTGGTGACATTCTGCTTGGCCTTCCAAGATCCCGTACTGGCCCCACCGGCAGACCCAGGTATGCTGGGCTGTCTATTCATGGTCAAACTGGGCTGCCTTTTCGCACTGTCCACATCCAGCTTCTTCCAGTTGTCCATAACATTGCCACTCTCATCGGAACCCACTACAATCGCACTACCACTACCCATGTCGGATTCTGCACTTTTCTCTGGCTTACCCAAATCACCTATAGGACTCCCTGACTTCTTTTTACGCTTTGCCAGGGCCGCTGCCATATCGCCCATCAAATCATTGGCAACCGCCGGCTTGGGTGCACTCTTCTGCTCGTCTATATTTGCTCCACCACCACCGTTTTTCTTCAAACTAACCCCCTTGGCGATTTCGTCCAGGAAACTACCCCCACTTCCCGCACTGTCCGAGGGACTACCTACCTTCTTGAGTTTTCTACCCTTCTGTATCTCTGCCAACAAGTCCACCGGAGCAGACTTTCCTGGGCCACCGGCCGCAGGCGGTGGTGGGGGCGGCGGCGGTCCTGCGCCGTTTGCACCAGGTGCAGGCGGTGGTGGGGGCGGCGGCGGCGGCGGTCCTGCGCCGTTTGCACCAGGTGCAGGCGGTGGTGGCGGTGGCGGTGGCGGTGGCGGTGCCCCTCCTGCCGCAGGCTGGGGTGCACTTGGCCCTGAACTGGGTTTCTGTGTATTTGGAGTGTTTGCTACTGGAGGTGGTGGTGGCGGTGGGGGAGGAGCACCCCCTCCAATGACCGAGGGCACGGCAGCAGCGTGCTCGCTCTGAACAGCAGTATCGGCAGCGCCTGCGCTAGCCTTACTGTTGAGTGAAAATACAGATGGATTACGTATTGTTTCTGATGTTGATGTGGTACTGCTGGCCATCGACTGAGCTGCTCGTGCTGGTGGGGCAGGGGCATCGGCCATATTGCTGGATCCAATGGAATCCAGTGCAGATTTCACTGCATCTGTAAAGGCGATTCGATCAGCGGCTGTACCAAATTGTAGCCCGATACCGTTTCTTTTCTGGTCAAAGAATGATACGAATCGCTCTCCCTGTACAACATGCTTGAACTTGAGTCGCAGAGCCATGTTGATGGGGGCTTCTTTGGTCTCTAGATTTCTGCCCACCAACCGGTAGGTTTCACTAGCCTGGTTGTGATATACATCGATCCGTCCGGTTTTAGCCATGGGTGTCCATTGACGGGACTTGTCGAGGGTCAGTATGGCGCAACGCCCGTGCCCTATAGATACCTCCGTCATGTTCGGATTCATAATCGTTAGCATTACAATAGCCTGCGTGGTTGCAAGTTTTGGGTAAATATATTTAGGCAAATATGGATGTGAATATCACAAAAGTTGGTAAATACTTGTTGTTGTAGGGAGTTCTGGGTAGACTTTGTTTTGCTGTGGTACTGTGACGTTAAGAAATGCTGGCTCGTAAATGGATGTCGGGGGCTTTTTGAACGAATACAAATACGACATAAAGTTGTCGGTCTGATGATTCTGAAGATTATGAAGTCAAATAGCTAATAGGAATATCTTAAATAATTATTACACCAATGAAATTAGCCTAAAAAGATTATTTTGGCCGAGTTTCGAAACTACTCGGATGCCTTTTCATTTTGAAATAAAAACAAATATATAGATGTACATTTTACCAAAATAAATAAATACAAGATTATAGGTTGTATTATAAATAGAACCAAATGTGAAATAGCTATTTACATCCTAGAGATCCATTATATTTTAAATACACAATTGTCTAATTTCCAGAAGGCTATGATTGTATGACACAATATACAAAACAAACATTCTCGATCATTTTATAAAAAAAGCAGAACCATTGTTCATTTTAGACATTTTTTTTTTGGGTATTTTTGGGGTTATAATTTAGATCGAACAGCTTTGATTGGTCATTGGTGCAGCAGTTGCAGATGACTCATACCAATGTGTTGGGGAGTACGTTTTGAGCCCTTTGGCCTGAGGCCTCTGGGCCGGTGGGCTTTAGTAGAGACCGCCCTATTCTCACTGGTAGCGAGAGTAGGATCCTGGGCCCTGGGGATTGGGGAAGACTGAGGCTGTGCAGTTTGCAATTTGCAATGGGCACTGTGCCCACAGCACCGCGTCAACGCAGTGACTGCAGTCACAAGAGTGTGAGGTTGAGAGGGCTCAGGCTGTGAGCCTGGCCATTTTTAAATGGTACATTGTTTTTTTTTAAAAACATAAACGTTTGGTGTAGATGCCTTAAAAGATAGTCGGCCAAATGCTTTTTTAAAATGCGAATTACTCACCGAAAAGAAAAGAAAATATATTTCGCAAAATCGGGTTGCATGGGGAAATTAGGCTGGCTGAGAGGAAGCCAAAACTGCCATAAACAATTTCGACCATTTTGAAGCGGCCAATATATGGACCTGGGGTGGCCAACATTGACCTTGCCCTTGCCCACATGTCTCAACTGATTACTGTTATGTCTTTTTTAAAAGTAGAAGTCTATCCTACAGAAAGATAACATGATACAATGCGAGGTCTGTCCATACAGAATGGATGATGTTTTAATTAAAGCTGTCTCCGGGTTATAGTCAAAATAAAACAGTACTTAAACTTCTGCTGGCTCATTTCTTATTAGCCATCTCGGCGGTGAATATTTCATATACATTCTCAGGTACACGTCGATGAGACGTATATTTCTTTTTCGCAAACGCTGCAAGTTGCAGAGTAAGACCCCTCACCATAGCAATCGAGGTAACGATAGGCACCCCTCACATAGCATATATTTGTATCCAGTTTAACATTGTTCAGAGCTTCGATGACATGTTTTTGAAGGCCTGCACACGTATCATCGCATTCTTCTCGCACCTCAAGCTTGGCTCGGCCCCAATATCGCTCGAGGGGGAAAATACGCATATGTAATATCAATACTACTGGGCTGCACTGAACTTTGCTGTACTGAATTCAAGGATAGCATTAATGTGCGTGCCACACACATAAATATTTTTTCAACCTGAAGGAATATCAATATCAGTATTTTGACAGTTCGACAGATCTTATTAATGACCATGTCGATTTCTGGCCTCAAAAGCCCAAAATTAATACTGGAAGGGTGGCCAATATTTTCCAAATCAGTCAGAACCAGGTGTTGAAACAGGTGCAATATCAAAAATGTGTCCGGGTGATATTTCAGATCAGGTTTCCCTGAGTTTTCCGCCATCAAACTCTCGAATCGGGTCATAATTATGTGCTCCATGGGTCAAGGCAGGAGGGGTCATTTGGCCGACTATCTTAAGGCAACTACACCATATAAAGTTTGACATCCTTTTTAAAAAAAAACTATATTTTAGAAAATACTATGAAAAGCACTGAGAAAACTCAGAACCCAAGCATTTTAATTTTACAACCCTCGGCCATGGGGCGTGGGCCTCACACATAGACCTCAGAACATTTGGGCACTCTAGGCTCTTACCATACTAAACTAGAGCAGAACCTATTGTCCTCGCAATACTAAACAAGAGCAGCTCCTTCCGTGTCTTGAGAGACATATGTGTACGCGTTTGTATAAACTACAGATATATACGTCTCTGCAACTTGACAGACGTTATTACATGCATAGGCCACAGCCTTTGCAACTTGACAGTATAGTAAGCATATTAAGGTTACACAATGTCATTATTTGCATATCGCTACAAGTTTGAAAAGTACTCCATGTCTGACACTTTTTTAATTTCGGTTTGTTACCCATTTCTGCGTCTGTTACAGTATTATCACCAGCTACGCAACGCGTTGCGTTCGCACATATAAACAGTTTCTATGTTCGAGATCACAGTTCGTCACGCGTAGCCATCGCCACAGCGACGTGTATAACCCGCAATCCCGCTCGCCGTCAGAGTGCAAACGATCACAATACTAAATTTGTTTCTGCCACCGTTATACCAAACAGATTGAGACCCATTTAACTATTGTACAATCAAGAACAATCACTGCGAACCAACATAAGTATCAATATACGCAAATAATAGTATATAACACAGATATGAACGATATATATATATATATATATATAAATATATCTATATACATGGGTAATTAGATACATCGTTTTTATGGGGGCGAAGCTTGCACTATTACTTCAGACGTCACATTTCTCAAAATGTCCCAACTATAGCAAAGCGACTTGGATTTATTTTATTGCTACCTACATCGAGATTCATATCCACGAGTATTCTTGTGAGATTATGATCAATCAAATTTGATCACATTCTTTCCCATGCTTGTATTACTCAATTGTTTTTCAATAATACACTTTACACCCGCCTCTGTGAACGGGAATTCTTCGCAAATAACCTGATTCAACTTACCACCAACAATTAGGTTTGCTAATACATCTTGGTGTTCTGTGTTGTTTGACAAGCAAAAGAATGCGTGGTACTTTAGATGCTTGTCTTTGGGAATGAGTGCCACAGGGGCATCACAATCCGAGTTAGATACATACCGCCCTTCGTCCTTAAGCTTATATTCCGCATGCTGGAAGGTAGTTATATCTCCAAACGTTGCAAATATGGAGTCAAGATTATCTAGTTCCTGCATTTTATACCAATTCTGCTCATTATAGTCGATAATTAAATCCGGCTGGGCGATCTTCTTAACAAAGTCGGCTGTACGAGATGAACATGTAGTGGCCACCCAAGCACCCAACTCCTTTGCCATTTGAATCGCAAGTTGTCCTACGGCACCTGATCCCCCCAGTATAAGCACTTTGTCTTTCTTTTTGACATCCATGTGCTGTGCTACCGCCTGGTATGCGGTAGTTCCTGCCAAACTTACTGCAGCAGCCTTTACTGCCCATAACTCAGGTGGTCGTAATGAGAGCACCTTGGCGCTCATAGTCGCATACTCTTTGAAACAACCTCCACTGGGACCTCCTTCCACTTTATGGCTACCATCGCCCCAGTTGACCCCAAACACTTCATGTCCTACTCTTAGATGTGTGACACCCTCGCCCAGAGCTACCACAGTACCAGCCACATCGTATCCTAGTACAAAGGGGAGGTCATGGCCCCATCCAGGAGGTGCCCCAGACATAAGCTTCCAATCAACTGGATTAAGTGAAGAATATCTCATCTTTACGATTACCTGTCCCTCAAGAGGTTGGATCACGGGCACATCTAGGAACTGCACAGAGTCGACGTCGGCTGGCGCCCTCGTCTTTTCGTAAAACGCGGCCTTGCACACCTGAGGTATTACTAAGTCATGAAGTGGGGTTTGCATCGTATGTATCGGCTTGGACGCAACTGTTATGATGTCAAGTTGTACAATAGTTTCTCAATAAATATTGTGAAAGGCACTATATATTTACACTGTGTATATTTTCTTTTACATGCATGTGTGTAAACGGACATGACTTTTATATTTCACTGGGGGGGCCTAGGGGTGTTCATTTGGAAGCATTTCTGCATTTGGTGGGATTTGATTAGATAAGTTGCACTTGCATTTTGGCGGGATCATTTCAATCCACATTCCACCTATTCATTTGAAAGCTTCTGGTAGGCTTTAATTTGAAAATATACCATATATAGCATCCATATTTTCGCGGGATCGCTTCGATGCGCATTCACTCTGACAGACTGACACTCAGTCTCAAGTCTCAAGTCTCAAGTCTCACAACTACAAGTCACAAGTCTCAACTTCAAGCTCTCAACTGTCTCATCTCTCAGACTCAAGTCACAGAGTCGCAGTCTCACACTCAAAGACTCAAGTCACAGAGTCGCAGTCTCACACTCAAAGACTCGCCGTCTCTCACTCGCTCGAAATTGAGTCAGATCAGAGTGAGAGAGGTAGATACTCAGTCATCAGTAATTACAGGAGGTTATGACCCTCTACTGAGAAAGGTCTTATTCAACGTATATTCTTCTTTAGAGCACATGCCATAAATAGTAAAAATGAATGAGTACTTAATAGTGACATCATTATGTGTAAATATAAAGTATATGCGATACAGTGAATTTGAACGTCCATGTCTACTAATCGAGCCGAAAACCCCCTTTTTTTATTTATTGTTCGCATGAACATCGCTCGTCGTTCCCGTATGTAAGTATATGCGAGACCATTCTCGCATGTATTTTCTGGTGGTATATTAAAAAGGGCTACAAGGCTGTAAAAACTCGATACGCAATGCTCTCGTATAAGTGCGTATTCATCAATACTACAATGAATGTACCGACTGTTAAGGATATATTAGTATGGCCGAAGCCATGTAAGCGGGAATGTTGCCATACCTATATATATATATATACATACATATATATCGTGTACGCATTTTCACGTTCATCAGATAATCGCTCTGTAACTACAGTATATATACGCATTTGGTACACTCACAACACACATAAATGCACAGTTATACCCATCGATATATCTCTAATATGCGTAGGGTTCTAGATTTTACAGAACAAAATTTGCTCTAGGATTTTGAGTGAAAAGATGTTATTGTATGTATGTGTAAATATATCATGCAAAAATAAAACTGCTATTCTATTGACTCGAAATTCTCACGTTATACGAACAGAAATCCATTTGGGCCTGAAGCTTAGTAATTCTAAAATGCAATTAGTTTTGTATGCAGATTGATGTATACAAGTTAAAACCTCGAAGCATATAAACTCGTACGCGATTCGGTGCATGTACAGATTATATATATGAAAACAGTTAGTTATACATGCTATCGAGCGCAACCCTGCATTCAAAAACTCCACCGCACTTGTAGCTTTGAACACAATCCCCTGCAGCACCTACAGGTTCATATCTATGCATCTACTAATGGATACAAATGTATTTATGTACATAAGGACTAGTCATATGTGTGTATGTGCAAATATATAAAATTGCCTATAAATCTATGCGGAGACGGTGTACATACAGAACACGCGCCCGCACTCGCAGCAGTGTGTAACTGAACCGATATATGAACATGTACACTCATGATAGATAACATTGTGGATATTTTTTGTTATTTTTCCGCTAAACCGAAAATTTGTGTAAATATATTGTGCTAATGGTGAAGTATATGAGTATGTGGATATACACTTCTCTACTATGCTCACTGGATACATGGTAATATGTACATAAAAGACTACACGATAAATTACATGAGATCAAAATGCAGACATATAAAAATCAACACGCATGTATACATATCCGACTACGTGCCAAGAACGAATATATCGACAATCTCAAGCCCAACATTGCAAGACGACAGGACCACTCCGAAATAAGTATGAACAGTTCAATGCGCAAACAGACCGCATAGAATCCAACCGTTACATTCATGTCTTTACCTCTTTCCCCTTTATTGTGTGTCTCGATAGTAAATCGTCTAGTATAGCACATTCATACTCCATATATGGCGGACTGTACATGGGTTGGCATGCAGCAGGGAGGTTTCCCGATTTTGAAATTGTCTTAATTACACCTTGCTTCGTTGTTTTTTTCAAGGCGAGTGGTGCTCGATACCGAGCTTACCGCCCTCTCCGGTTGAGATATCGAACACATACCCTATATAAACGCAGGCAGAACTTTGATTAGAGATGTCAGATGCGAAGTAAAGTGCAATCAAACCTGATCTATATACCTCAACATTGAATACAAATATTGTATAGATGTAAGAAGAACTTAAGTACAAAGTAACAACAACCGTACTGCATAACTCTACAACCTACAGAGGTAGTGATGTACGTAATATAAATATATTCCAAACACAGAAGAAAATTGACGGTAAAATGCAGATCGCAATAACTTGCAGATGTGTAGACCAGGTAGTCTTCTGCACATCCGGAACGTGAAATACGAAACGATATAACCACTATAGCATTCAAGCGCAAAAGTGTGTTGTAGATAGCCTTAAATCCAAAACATTGTGCACATAATGCACACACGTTACATGGAATATAATTGCAGAATATACAATTTATGTCGAAAATAGAATGGTAATACAACACTTAGCACAAACTTAACATACTTGGAACATATGTAACACGTGCGATATATTTGATGAATGTATCTTACATATAATAAATTGAATATGTAGACATTGCAAGAAATATTGTTTATCCGAGTGTCTTATATTTATATATCTCCAAAGGGATATTTTGATTGCCGACAAATTACCTAATAAATAAACATACCTTTAGTTGGGCTGCTCACATTGAAGGGCGCCTCGTGGTTGTGCAGTGCATTGCTGGGTCCAGCAGATGTGATGTTGACACGGAATACAGCCATCACCGCCTTACTTGAGCCTAGTTTAAACGAATCCCCAAAATTGGTGATGATTAATCTTCCCAATACATAACACGTCTTCATAGTACGTCAGCAACTCGCCAGACTACTTAAAACAAAATATCCACAAATCGCTCAACCTTCAGACGTGGCATACAACAAAAATTCTGGTTATTATTCATATCCACAATCAATTTCAACTGTCATCACAAAATATAACATAGTTCAACACTAGTGCAGATGGACATTGTATACCTGCATCATACTCAATCTCTTCAAACTTGGCAGACTCGTTAGACTCAATATCTTTTTGCTTGCTCTCTTCCTTGCCATCAGCTCCTTTGTACAGAACAGTGACCTGCAATTGATACAAAGGTTGCACGGATATATGATTTGAATAATTCACACTTAAAGGAATATAGTCTAAATAAATCGAAAACAAGAAGGCAGGGAACTGTACAACAGCTGGCCGTACTACTACTATCACGTTATTTTCGTTTGTTCGGGAATATATATAGCAATGAACTCAATAGGTACAGATAATGGTCAGAAGGCTAATAGCATGCCAAATTTCTTAACCGGCACTGTACTGAATGTTAACCATGAATGGCATACCATAATAGGGAACTCATCTTTGTTGTTCACAACAATTGAGTAGACATCAGTAGGAGGCAACATAGTGGTGATATGTATACGTTTATGTTTATGTTTATGAATAACTTACGTGTAACCACTGATTCTGGCCATATATATATGTATAAATATCTGAAGTGTATACGACTATACAAGCCATATAAATTTAATATTTACGGTGTATATATTTTACGCAGTACGTATTACAAACGAAAGTAAACAAATAAATATAAATAAAAATACAAATGTAGCCTCTGAATATTTAAAAAAAAAAAGACAAATATTTCAGAAGAAAAGCCCTGAGAGTCTCCTGACCTATTTATTCAAAAATGAAAGTATAGGGTTTTGCCGTTTTGGACTCTCTAGTAGAGAACCCGCATCGAAATATACGGCCTACGGCTACGGGACTATCCAAACTAATAAGTCCACATTTAACAGAAACAAATCGTAAAATTTGTTGGTTTTTATACCTTAAAATTTATAAATAGTATTCTCGACTCTGCAGGTCGCTGTCATCTCGACAAGTGGTCTATTTTTATACGATATTCAATCAAATAGGCTCAATTAGAACATTCATGACGACGTTGTTGGGGCGGGTAAATTTTATTCAGATTTGTATTAAAACCATTAGTATACGGTGCACTCGAGAATAGATAACCTTGCAAGTTGCTTTTTCTCGATTTTTTGTGTGGAAAAAAATGAAAATGAAAATTTCGAAGACGTCAAGGGATTTGTCTGGATGAGACCTGTCCAAAACTGCTAAAGCGTCTGATCGTGGCAAGCGGCACTGTGTCTTTTGGTACCCTTTTCATACGGTCTTCAAAATGGAATAATAATAATAAACATTCATATGTAGGATTAGATAATAATTTTGCGCATACAGATTAACCACTAACAAAAAATATACATCTGCAGTCGAGTTATAGAACACAAACATATAGTTAAGTACTGAAAACTCGTGATTTGGGAATCGGCAAAAATTTGGGCTGTGACATTTCTATATAAAAAATTGGAGACCAATATGAAAATTTGAACCGAGTGATAATCATCTACTGGAAATTCTGAGTCGATTGCCGTGTCTAACGCCAGGATCGGATATATTTTTTCGGACCTATGGTCCTTCAAACTTGGGGGTCGCGAGGCGGTTATCTATTCGCCAGTGCACCATATGACTATATATGTATTGTATTTTAAAAAAAAAAAATACTATTTAGTACATAAATAATTAGTTGAGACTGAGTCACTGGGAGAGTCTTTTGTTGCGACATGTGTCAGACTTTCAGGCTTCAGATGTCACTTGTTTGGCCTGCTGGCTTGCAATCTTGCATCCTCCACCCATTTATATCAATACTCGCTAAATATTCACTGTATTTTAAAATCACAAACCCTAGAGAAATCTTGAAACCACCATAAATAGAGCCACCTACACACGCCTCCTACGATTCTAGCCCCTTGCACACGCGGCCACAATTAGTGCAACATACACTTCCCACCTACTCATACTTGGGTATTATTTCATTACCACTATACTACACATATATAAATCTGTATTGTAAAATATAATCACGTTTCAAGAGTCAAGAGTCAAGTCTGTCAAGAATCTCAACCCCACACCCGCCGCCACAAAAGTACAACCTACAGTTACCACTTACTCATACTTATATTCTTTTTTCCGCTACTATACTACATATGAATAATTCTGATATAAATTACAGTCACGTAACAAATAACCCAATTAGTGAACTACATTTCGTCGTGCGCCAGAGATTGTGTACATAGTACACAGTTATAGATACACAACAACTATATATATTCTACAAGTCAGCCACCGGTTGAGATAAGGTAGCCAACAAATGCAATTACA